AGCCAACTACACTTAGAGTGGTGCACCCTACTGAGACTGCTACACTAAACTACACAAACCACTCTGTGGATGTTGATCTTGTAGTGGAAGCATGAGAAAAATAACTAGAAATTAGTCATTATAATAATTAGTATTTCTATGATTTAGTAACCATGTTTTCATTAACCCATATGGCATTTTTTTTTTTCCATGACCAAATTATATTTCAAAATATACGCTAAATATATGATGTAAACAGTGAAACTCAATTAAATATATGTTTGAAAATTGAAAATATTCAGTTTCAGGGGCAAGAAAATACATTTCCAATCTTACAGTAACCTACATTAAGGCTAAATGTAAATGTGGATAGAATAGCCTACTAGAGACCAAACATAGATTTATATTTTATATATATATATACGTGGGCAGGGAGAAACACAGCGTTTGTAATGCCGTTCGCTCGCCATAGACTTTCTCATTGTTTTTATATATGAGTGCTTGTGCGGACAGACAACAGTAAATAGACAGACACATACACAGAGCGCTACTGAAGAGCAGAAGCTGGTTTGCGGCCGGCCGGATGCGCTTTTATGCTTTCTGGTGCTTACGTCACCCTGCTCGTGACGTCTCGCTGCTCCATTGGACGGATTTGACACGTGCTTCAGAACGCGGTCACGCAAGGGCGTTCCCAAAGCGATCTCGACGCAGCTCGAGTTCCTGAAGGAGAATCATGTTTTCCAAACAGGTTTCCTAAACACTCCCCCTGTCTGCCATTGGTCAGTGAAACACATAGCTCCGCCCCAAACTCACACCATTGGTTGAGCTGCTGCTGGTCAGACATAAACAAACACAGTAATAAGATCCAGCATTTACACTTTTCTGACAAACCAGCCTCTAATGTCTAATTTCTGCTAATCTCTGCATACTGAGATGAGATATGAGCCCATCACAGATGTTAACTTCCAAAAAAATAACACAAATCACTTTGAAGAGTGATAGAGTTAACCTTTTCCACTAATTTCACACTACGGCTATCATCTAGGTTCGAGTTATATTTGAGATCAGAGATGAATCTGAATTTGTGTTGAAGCCAAATGCAAACCTCTGATGAATCACAGACTTATTATAGTATTAGTCAAAAGTGTTTTTAAAATGTGAAGGAAATGACTGGGGATCCACCTGAATGCCTCTGGGTCCGAGTTCTCCTCTCTCTCCCTGAAAATAAAAGAGAAACACAGACTTATTTCCACTTCTGCACAGCAGGAGAACCCTGTTCTTCAGCATATCAGTCAAAAACTACATTTAATGAGCTGAAAAGCCAGTATATCAGGCATATCTTCCACACAAGCAGTCATTTAGCTGATGCTTTATCCAAATGACAATAGATTTATGGCAGCGTCTGCACATCTCTACACATCTTAATACTGCATTTATAGTATGAATATGCATATATAGCCTACATAAAGCATACTGCCACTGTGCGCAGCGTGTTCAACCTCAAGACATCCACATCTCTGCTGGAAACTCAAGGTGTTTCAGAAGATGAGAGCTGGTTTCTAGCTGAACTGGTTTAGGCTCGGCAGGCTGATAGACCATCTCGCATCTATACGACCTTAATGTGGTTTCACAGCGTGTTGCATTAGAAGATTGTAATCCTTTATCGAGATCAAACCTTTCAGGTGCTTAATTATTCACCTGACAAACACTTTTATCCAGAGTGAGGTTTTATCAGCATGTGTGTCTCTGGGAATCAAATCCTTGCTGACCTTGCTGTCACTAAAGCCATGGATAACTTCATTTCTGCATTGGGTTGTATAGTACTATTGTTTATGGTCAGTATGATTTTTTATTTTTTTTTTCTAAATACTTTTATTCAGATGGGATGCATTAAATTGATTGAAAGTGACATTACACTGTAACAAAAGATGTCTGTTTCTAATAATTGCTGTTCTTTTGAACGTCAAGGAATCCCTAATGTTTATATTTTTAAACAGTTTATATATTAAGTCCCATTTATTTGCATATGCAAATGAATTAATTAATTAATATACACGGCCATTCAAAGCTTTGGAGGTCAGAGAAATGAATACGCTTACTGATCAAGGATTCAATAAATTGATCAAAAGTGGCAGTAAAGACATTTATAATGTTACAAAAGATTCTATTTCAAATAAATGCTGTTCTTTTGAACTTTCTATTCATCTGTGAATCCTGAAAAATAAAATGCATCACAGTTTCCACAAAAATATTGTGCAGCACAACTGTTTTCAACATTGATAATAATCAGAAATGTTTCTTGAGCAGCAAATCAGCATATTAGAATGATTTCTGAAGATCATGTGACACTGAAGACTGGAGTAATGATGCTGAAAATACAGCTGCGCATCACAGAAATACATTACAGTTTAACACATATTCACATAGAATACAGCTAGTTTAAATTTTAATAATATTTCACAATTTTTACTGTATTTTTGATCAAATAAATGCAGCCTTGGTGAGCAGAAGAGACTCATTTGGAAACATTAAACATTAAAAAATGACTCGTGCATGCTGGTGTTTAATGGTGTTTAATGGTGTTTAATGGGACGGCAGCATTACCTTGTGTCCTTTAAATCCAGGAGGGCCCATGGCTCCCTGAAGGCCTGGGAATCCCAGCTCGCCCCGCTCGCCCTGAGAGATTCACAAACCCACTGAGAATAAACTCTTCACCTCACTTATCCAGAGAGCTTTGAATGCAAACCTCACAACTGAGTGACTTAATGCACAAAGTCTAAGCTACAAAAGATGAGGCTCTTACCTTTTGACCTGCGGCTCCAGGAATACCTGCGTCTCCCTTTTCTCCTGCGTTACCCTAAACACATACAGCAGTGAGTAAACGTCCACAAACACACATCTGACGCACGCATATATAACTCCTCCATTATAACGTGGCTAGAAGAAGCCATTTGTTTCCATAGACTGATAAAAGACTATTAATCACTTGAAATATTAAATGAAATGCTGTTACAAAACCGGCAACTTAAATGATTTTGTTCAGCGTACTTCTATAATCCATTTGATAAGGGCACAATAAATGTAATCTCAGCACGGCTATTCCCACCTGATCCGAGTCAAGGTATTAGCATAATTGCTAAAGGTGATGTTTGGAGCAGACCAACCTTGGGGCCGTGGAGTCCGTCTGCTCCGGGGGGCCCCGAAGGCCCCGGCGTGCCCTGAAGGATTTAATCAGACAGGATTCAGAGTTAAACTGAAGCGCCGAACGCTGATAACACACAGCGGCACACTCGGCGGACTGCAAATAAACCTTCAGCACAACTCCAGAAGACTCTTACTTGACCAAAATAAGAAATGAACTCTCTTAAATTAAAAGCACTGTCAGAAATGGCATACATGAAATGGAAATGGAAATTATGATGTGCAAAACAGATTCTAACGCACAGGGTTTCTGCAGGTCATAAAAAGTCACATTTTCACAAATGAAGGTCTTAAATCAGAGCAGAAAGTCTTAAATTCATGGCATTAAATTTTGCATGCACTGCAAATGAATTAATTAAATGTGTCTTGTTTTCCAGTACAAACATCTAAACATCCCTAAATCAAGATACATTTACTGGAGATGCCAAACGAAGACATGAAGTATTGTTTACTAACAAAATGAAGTGAGTTTATGCTTAAATTAAGAACGAATATCTGTCAAAACTTGGTTTCCCTTTGAAATAAGTTAATATTTCTGAGCCTATTGACAGATATGTTCATGTTTTAATCATGAACATTTTATGTAATTTTGCTTCTCCAGTAAACATATCTTGAGTTAAATATATTTAGACTTTTGCACTGAAAGACAAGAAAAAAATACAGAGGCAGATATTCATGTTTTGCCTTGCGAAAGCATTGCATTTTGCAAAGTAAATTTGGGTGATGCTTAAAGCCTTTATGTGTAATGCATTATAAAGGTTTTCATAATGTACTTTGCAATGCATTACATCTTTTTATAAATAATTGTAAGCAAAGTTAAAATGCAGTATAATATTTGAAGGTTTGTTTGTCATGTTACAATTTCTAAAGATGCAACAATGAATAGATACGTATTACTATGATGTATTATAACTGCGGTTACAATTATTTATGAGATCATTCAGTGTATTATAAGGTGCATATATAGGCATAATTAATGCATTATAATGCATTATATTTAAATGCTTTAGGTAAAGTGTTACTAATATATTTGTTCTTGTTTTAATCATAAACTCGCTTAATTCTGATATATTTCTCTTATTTTACGTCATTAATTTTTTTCTTAAGTAAATATATCCTGATTTAAGAATCTTTAGAACTGGAAAACAAGACAAAAATACTGAGGAAGAAGAGTTTTTGCAGTGCGATGAGAAGGCACAGTAAAAGTTAGTTATTTAATTTATTTATTTATTGTTTGTAGAATAAATGTAAAAAGCAATGGAAGTTTTATTTTTAGATTTTATGAAGCATTCAATTCAAATGTCTTGCATTAGCAGAGACCATACTGACGTATTCTGTTCTATATATATATACATTCCTTACATTTTCTTGTTCCCTCAAAAGCCCTAAACACAGAGGCGCATCAGATGTGATCCAGCACTAGGTGGCAGCAGCGTTTGCTCGGACTCAGCCGAATGTTCAGAGGTCACCCTAGCATTGTTTACTCTGTTACTCAGTCCCAGACCGATCGCTGGTTAGTGTTTGACCCCGGTCCAGATTGCTATTTTCGCTCTCTGGCTGCGGCTGCTGATCTGATGAGCAGCTCTACAGCTGCCTGGGCCTCCATCCAATCCGGTTTTTCTGAAGTGTTTTATTTTATCGGGTCAGCTGACACAATGAGGGGGTAAAAAGGTGAAGCTGATATTCCAGCGGGACGTTTACTCACCGGAGCTCCTCTTGGCCCCGCTGATCCTTTCTGTCCCGGTGCTCCTCTCGCACCCTAAACTCCAGCAAACACAGGATCGATAGCATGGGTTTGTCATGCGCCGTGTTACAATTCAAGATGCAGTGACTGTATTTGCTTTAAAGGCAGGTAGTTACTGCCATACAACTGCAGCCATTGTGTTGTATAGGTACAGCCTTGAAATATATCTAGTCATTTTTAACCTCATTTATTTTACATTGACAAAATGTGGTTGGACATGAGTGAATTTCACAAAGAACATGTCCAGGTCACATTTCATTGCAAAATCAACAGGGAAACTTAAAGAAAAGAATGAAATAATATTTTGCATGAAATAAATATATTTTGGTGCCATTAATGTTTTGCTGGGACATAAGTAAATTTAAATAAATAAATACATTAATATTTATTAATTTAATATTCATTATGCATTGCATGTATATACATTTACTAGATCATTTAACAGAGCATCTATTTATGAAACTGAATTTTTTTTATAAAATAAATTAAAATAAAATAAATAAATACATATTCAAAAAAAAAACCGTTTTTGCTTCTTTTTTTTTTATTGTATTGTATTGTATTTTATTTTAATTGTAATTTATTTTATTTTGTATCTTTTTTGGAAATTATTCTAAAATGAACACTGAAACACTGAAATAACACTGAAACCACATGTGACACCTTGCCAACTTGACAAAGTTTAAATAAATAAATAAATATTCATTCATATTATTATTATTATTGTTATTGTTATCCAAATGCAATATATGTACATTATATACATTTATATACAATACATTTATTTTAAAAAATCTATTATAAACCAGTAAAAATGTAATAAAAAGGTGATATTCAAAAACCAATTAATTGGCAAACACATATACCTGCGGTCCGCTCGCTCCTTCCTCTCCAGGAGGTCCTCTGATTCCCTGTAAAGCACACATCAGCCGTGGTTCAGTTTCTAGCGCACTGCTGGACAGGACAAGCGGAGCTAATGACCTTGTATTTGGAACAGATCTGGGATCAAGGCCTTGCTGTAATTCCATCATTCATCATGTTCTTCTTCTGCGGTTACTGTTATTACAGCATTACCAGGATGCCACTCAATTAATCTACGCTCTGGCAAAGCTATTGCTCAAATAGGAGCCTGCCAAGAAAAAGGACACAATTTCACACATTTCCACTGTCTGTTTTTCTAGCCTGCTAAATGACTTTAATTGAGCTCCATTAAAAACTTCCTCCATCCATCTGCTTCCTCTGAGGCTCCAGTAAGAGGCAACGATGAACCTCATGTGACGGAAGAACATTAAGCACATAAAAAAAAGCAAAAACCGCTCTGTTAGCACAATTTCCCTCAAAAATCTGACTGCAGAATGTCCTGCTCTTTCTTAAAGATTTAACATCAAGTCTCCTGGAGTTTTTACCCTGATAACTTTTACTCCGGTACGCCAAGACCCTTCCTAATACCACACAAACCTCAAAATATGTCATATTTCATCATACTTTATGAATTTTAATTACATGATAAATTATTATTATTATTATTAGTAGTAGTAGTAGTAGTAGTATTGTTTATATACATTTATTTATCAGACAACTAGTACTACATTAATGAGTAATGACTATGCTGGTACTTGAATTTGTATTATTATTATTATTATTATTATCATTATTATTATTATTAGTAGTAGTAGTAGTAGTAGTATTGCAAATATATATGTACCTTTATTATTTATTTATTTATTTATTTATTTATCAAAAATACTGCTACAGTAATGTGAATCACCAATGAAATTAATATAAATTACCTCAAAAGTACTAAAATATCTCGTAAGATGCTGTTACTTTTAAAGATTTATTATTATTATTATTATTATTAATATATATATTATTATTATTATTATTATTATTATTATTATTATTATTATTATTATATTATTATATCTAAAGACAATCTAATGAAAATAATCGGAAATAGGCAAAAAATTTATAATTTAAATAAATAAATAAACAGGGCACTTTTAACACAATACCTCCAAAAACCTAAAAATACCTAATATTTTACATAAAAGTTTTTTTCGTTATTATTATAACCAAAATAAAAACTGAAACATTTTAATTACTGTATCAGCTGTTTGGAAATAATGCTACATTACTCCTTTTTGTGCATTTGTCCATTGAAAATGTAAATATCCTAACAGATGAGTGACGGTAAAACCTAAAACGTACCACTATTTTCTCCAAAAATGAAATGCGAGAAGCAAGCACCCTCTTCCTTCCTGCCACAGACAGATAATAGCTTCCCGCAGCCGTCTGATGCCCTGATGAAGAGCTGCAAACACGCTGACGTCTGACTTTCACTGGAAAACACTGGCATTACAGCAGCTTGACCTCACTCTGATCTCTCAGCACCTGCCTGAGTGTTTGCATCCAAGAAATCAATCTTCTGTTGTATCTCCAGAACCCTGAATCACAACTAGACTCCGTCCAGAGACGCATGCAGGAGTGTGCAAGAGACATCAAGGTCTGCGTTTGAGTCCACTATCCTCAGAGATTACAGTGAAAAACAGGGGAACATCGCACAGCTTTGAAATGAATAGTGAGCAGCTCCATCGATCGCGTTTCACTCAAAGGCTCTTCTTCTTTCAGAAAAACTGAATTACATCAAAAACGAGAAACTTCTGAGGCCTTCACAGGTTTAATTTGACGGCACAGAAATGTAAGAGCGGGAAGGAGAGCGAGACTGTAAAAGTAATTACATGAAAGATGAAAGGTGTCATACCTGACTCGAAAAATGAGTCAAGTGTTAATTTGTCCGGTTGAGAGGTAATGATTAGTAGCGGGAAATTACTTATTAGCAAATCACAGTCAGGCTTTCAAGTGCAAAGCAAAAGTGTCTAAGTATTAGCCAAACCAGATCATTACTGGCAAGGAATATGTATCATTATTTAAAAACAGAAATTAGTAAAGTAAGCACATTGCAGCCATATCTGAACATGTCGAGGTCATACTGCACCTAATCAAAAGAAATTATACTTTGCATGAAGAAAATTAGGCCTTTTATTTAAAGGAAAAATATCCACTTTCTTACTAACACTAGCAAAAAGACTAAATGGGAAAAAAAATCATACTTTAATTTATTGTTTTCACTAGCGTTCACAAGTTTGGGGTCGGTAAGATTTATAAGTGTTTCTGACAAAAGACTCTTCTGCTCATCAAGGCTGCATTTATTTGATCAAAAATAGTGAAATAGTATTATAATTTTGAAAAGCTGTTTTCTATGTGAATCTCTGTTAAACTGTAATGTATTTCTGTGATGCGCAGCTGTATTTTCAGCATCATTACTGCAGTCTTCAGTGTCACATGATCTTCAGAAATCATTCTAATATGCTGATTTGCTGCTCGAGAAACATTTCTGATTATTATCAATGTTGAAAACAGTTGTGCTGCACAATATTTTTGTGGAAACCGTGATGCATTTTATTTTTCAGGATTCACAGATGAATAGAAAGTTCAGAAGAACAGCATTTATTTGAAATAGAAATCTACTGTAACATTATAAATGTCTGCACTGTCACTTTTGGTCAATTTTAACGTGTTCTTGATAAATAAAAGTACTAATTATTATTTTATTTTTTTAGAAGGCTGGATGCTCATTTGACATGCAGCTTGTGAAAATGCAATTATTTCATCTTGACTGAATGTATGGATTTAACACAGATGTAGATCAAATATGAAATCCATTTTTCACTCATTTGTGTCTGTGTCTCAATCAAGGAGGCAAACAAAGCTAATGCTAATTGATTGCAGATGTAAAGCTGCACACATTTGAGGCTGTAATGTGTATATGCATTTTTACAATTTCTAAAAATGCGAAAGGCTCTTGCCTGTGCTGGACTCTATGATATTCTGACCATAGAAGTCATGTGCATTGAAGTCTCAACCACACAATAAAACAATGAAATTCCAACTTTTTATATAATTCAGACTTTTCTTCCTCACAATTCTGAGAAATTGCAAGAAAAAAAATCTTACCGTATTACTTTGTTTTATATTCTGTGAAAGAGAGAGAAATAAACTTTGAATTCGGAGAAAAAAAGGCAGAATTGCAAGATTTAACCTTGCAGTACTGACAAAAAAAAAATAGTTTGTGATATATAGCAATATATAAACTCAGAACTGTGAGATGTAAAGTTGCAATTGCAAGAAAAAAGACTGAATTGTGAGTTTATGTCTCGCATTCCTGACTTTTTCTGGGGGAAAAAAAGTTGAGAAAATGTTGTGACAAACTCACATCTGCAAGAAAAAAGTCAGAATTCTGAGATTTAAACTTTTTTTGAGGTCAGAATTGCAAGATGTAAACTTAGAATTGCAAGAAAAATACAATTCTGAGTTTGTCTTGCATTTCAGTTTATTTCTCCAAACTCGACTTTTTAAATTATTTGTTTTATTATTATGAATTATGAGAAAAAGTCAGAATTGAGAGATATAAATCTAGAATTGTGACATAAACGCAGAATTGTGAGATATAAAAAAGTCTGAATTGTAAGACAAAAAAGTCGCAATTACCTTATTACCTTATTTTATATTCCATGGCAGAGAAAAAAAAAAGGAATTGTGGGATGTAAACTGTAAAACGTTTTTGTCTGTTTGTCATATGCACCGGATGTTTGGACGTGGAAGCACTGCAAGCAGAAACAGCTCTCTGTTATGATGGCAGGTGTAAAGCGAGAGCGATGGGAATGTCAGACATGCTGGCTCTCATCACACCCGTAGATTTGTAAACGTGCTCTCATTTAGAGAATATACTTCCCTGTTTAGTGTGTCTTTGCTTTATGGAGCCACTGCAAAGGGACGGTCAGATTTCTGACACTGCTAATTATGAAGGAGTCCAACATTTTACAGTCAACATGTGCAGAGGAGGTTTGTTTAGATGGGATCATTGAAATCATTTTAGATGTGCATTTAGCCACACATTTAACAGATGCAGCGTATGTTAAACATTATAAAAGAAGAGGAAGAACAGCAGAAGTGACTCACTGGAACTCCCTGCAGTCCATCTGCTCCTGGCAGCCCGGTGTCTCCTTTCTCGCCCTAACAAACAAACACAACACAAGTGTTGACCAACAGATCTCATTTTTCTCAGAATCCCTTTTAAAATAAGTTTAGAGACACACTCAGAATGAAGTTAATGCTCCGTGAAGGGTTTGAAGTTATGGAGAAGCGTATTTTCCCAGTGAAAGGGGTCTACGACAATTAAAGCAACGTTGTGTTTGCTTTGCTCTCACTGGACACATAAAACACAGCCTTTCAGTGCAAAACAAGCCGGGAGTGCTGGAATAGAAACCATAACATCGACTTTTGTATGCTTTTCTGTTTTCTTAGTTTTTAGTTCTACTGGGAAACACTACAAAGATACATAAATGCACAAACAAATACAGCAGATTTTTTTTTTATTCGATTTGTATGCATGTAAAAATATTTCAAATCAAAACATTCTAAAAACAAGATGCATGACTTAAGCAAAACTGTGCACGTTAATAAGAAATCTTAAAATTACATTTAGTTTCACACCCCTTAAATAAAATGAATGTAATTCAGGATATCTTGTCAGAAAACAAGTTCTACTAAGATACTCTACTATCATGCAAACACTGGGCGGAATAATTGACTTATTTTCGTAAAATAATTATTATTTTTGTCTTATTTTTCAGGATAAAATTCAAAACTATATTCTATCCAAACATATTCTATAAATTCTACTATTCTATCAAACTGTATTCTGTAGATTCTATCATATTCAATCTGATTCTATTAAATTATTCTGTAAATGAATGGAAATTTGAAACAAAATATAAGGTTATATAGGACTAAATACAAATTATATATGATGAGGCTTTTTTTCAGAAAAGCTTGAATTAAGTTTATTTTTCCTAACACACTGGTATTCATTTATTTATTTAGAAACAGTCCTCACTAAATGTGTTAGATTAATGCTTAAAGTAAAATTATGCTAAATAAGTAATTAAAATTAATTCTTATTCTTATAAGACTAAATGTCCTATCTTGGCGATGTAAATTTATCTTCTTAAGAATATTTAGGTATTTCTGCTGGAAACAGCACAAAATCTAGTTGAAGAAAATGCTTTTTTTCCTCTTATTTGTTGATGTGTACACTACTGTAACTCCAGCAGTGTTCAGAGACAGCAGGAGACAAGAACTGGCTGGAGTCTCATGTCACACTCGAGCGGACTTTGATCAGAGCCACAGGTGGAGAGGAGGCAGCATCCCGCTCAAGAGCCATTGCCCTTAAGCAAAGAACATATGTTTGCCCTCCATGAAAGCTTCAAGCACACTCACTAACACTTGGGCTTTGTGGAGCGCTTTGAAAGGCTGGGAGAAACAGAAACTAAGAGTTGTTTTTTTGTTGTTGTTGTAGAAGAGCTTGGCCTTCCAGGACACATAAAACATCTAAGCAAGCAAAGCTTTCATTAGAAGAGCAGCGAGTCTGTTAGAGAAAACATAAATGTGGATTGCGGCGGCCTGTGGAGCGGGACCCAATAACTACTCTGACTCTGGCCTGACATCTGTAGGTGTGTTTGGCTACATAAAACATGTTCTATGGTTAGCAAACGCTCAAAGCGTGCAGTTTGTGGAAAAGATGTCTCAGATATAAAAGTAAACACAGTCCGTCCCACTCATGTATGTCCAGTTTTAACACATGCAGAATGTCTAGACGACAAAATGAAAAATTGAAAAAACTGTCAAGCATGCATAGGCGTAATTTGCGGGTGGGACGGGTGGGACATGTCCCCACCACTTTTTGCCAGGGTCGATATTGTCCCTACCACTTTTTGAAAGTAATTGAAAAATATATTGCGGAAGGTGTGGGCGAGTTTTCCTTATATTTATTTTATTTTTCTTATAAAAATTATAATGACCTTTTTTGGTTATATTTACTATTAATTGCAGAAGGTGCGCTCAGCAAAAATGACGCGAATATTGATGGGTTTCACGCTTAAGTAAAGTAAAAGACCGCTTCTTAAACCAGAGAAGGTTTTTTCGAGTTAAATTTCGAGTTAAAAAGTCATAATTGAGAGATATAAACTGGCAATTCTGAGAAAAAAAAGTGAGAATTGCGAGATATAAACTCGCAATTGCAAGAAAAAAAGTGAGATCCTCTGGCACCGCCCCTGGTACATCGATGTATTTTTGAAAAGCAAAAATTAAGTTTGTTCAACTCTAAACCCAGTCCCCAAGTAAATTAGGTTATTAAATAAAAAACTAGTTAAACGAGTTGCGCGGTGTCCCCACCACTTTTCAAAGCAAAGTTACGCCACTGCAAGCATGTATGTATAAATGTTGCCGTTCTGTTATTGATGTATCATGCATGTCAGGCCCAGGCTTGTTGCAACGTTTCTGCAAAATGATATTACGTTGCTTATTGCACATTTTGCAACATTTTCCAAATGAAATGTCCAGTGAGTGGGGCTAAAAGTGCATTCATTTTTATTGGAAACAGGTGAACATGAATTTGGCAATGTTTTAATACATTTTATTGCTTCACATTCCAAGTGTAACGTTGTACCGGGTGCGCTCCCGAGCAAGTTTACTAAATCAGAAAAGACGAACATATGGAGCTGGTTATGTGATACAAGCATCAAAATGTATTAGTTTACAAATCATGCACTACGGTAAAAGTGTTTTGCGCATAACATAGCATTGTGCAGGGAACCACACAAAAATAAGGCTCTATTAACCAATCATATGTAATTATAATTGGTGTAAAAAGAAATATAAGAGGTTGGTGTTTTACTATGTTGAAATGTCTGCAAACGGTCTGGTCGCACTGTTATGTAGGTATTAGTACGTAACATTTACAGGTACAAAACATAAATTTTTTTATATGCTTTGATTGATGCTGAAACACAATTTGGATGTATTTTTAAAAAATCTAAAAGTAAATATTATTATGTATGAACTGAAAAACGTCAAATATTCTCGTGGAAACTCGTTTGTATTATAAAGATATTTGTATAGATGCATTTTATAAATTTTATGATTTTGGTTTTTAAATCCAAAGCCAAACATAGACACTTTATAGAGAAGAAAAAAAAAAGAATGTAATATAAGAAATTGAGAAAAAAATTAAGTTCAATAAATTTGCATAAAATATCATTTCGGTAACATTATAACGTTAAAAAGATATTTTTAGTGGTTTGGTGCAGCAAACACCACTAATAATGTGCAAAATACTAAGAACACAACTGCAAAATCTACTGTAAAAAACAGACAGTATGAATCAAAATACTGTATGAGCTTCACACTGATGTGATATTTGTGCAGTATTACAGTTTCCCATAAGTCCACCCACAGGAATCACATCTGCATCACATAACCTGATGTTCATCCATCTTGGAAAGTATAGTCCCACCTCAAAATGAAGATTTAGACTGAATTACAGGCTTAAAAAACAAACGTTTCACTGAAGAACAAGCTTCACATTTGCTCTTAAACCCTCTGGCCTACAAATGTACTCCTGTAAACATGTTTTCTGTTCTTCAACAGAAGGACTGGGCTACACAAAATGATGTGTAGGATAATAAATACTGACAGCATATGCTATAAATATCGTCCATAAGCATAGACAAGACAAACATATCCTAAAACAAATGTTCCAGCTCAGTAATTGGTAAATCACCCTTGTTTCTCTACTTTTTAAGGAATCCTGTTTGTTTATTTGGTCCTTTTGCTAAAGTCTTTGGCCAACACTGCAGTCGGTGGTTTGGACATCAGGGTCCTTTCAAGCCTTCCACTTGTCTGTGACTTTTAATTGAAAAGATTCATTTATTTGGAGAACATATTAGAGAATATTAACTTTGGTAAAAGTATTGCATAACATTATTCATCAAAAGAACCACTGTGGAACTTCTGCAAGAGGTTTATCAATGATGAGGAGATACAGAAACTTTCCAAACTCACTATAATCTGAATCAGGTCCCAACAAAAAAATATCTGAACAGATCTGTGACACACACACACGCACACGCACTCGCACACACACACACACACACACACACGCACACTCATGTTGTGTATTCATCACGTTATGGGGACATTCCATAGGCGTAATGGTTTTTATACTGTACAAACTGTATGTGCTACTGCCCTACACCAACCCTACCCCTAAACCTACCCCTCACAGGAAACTTTGTGCTATTTCAGATTTTCAATACACTCCATTCTGTGTGATTTATAAGCGTTTTGAAAAGTGGGGAATGTCCTGAAAAGTCACCTTCTCCTTGCAATGCCTATGTCATACCCTTGTCATTATACAAATTTATGTCCTCAATTGTCACAAAAACATGCACGCACACACACACACACACACACACACACAAAGCAAATTAATATTTTGACCCAAAAACTAAATAAAATAGCACTCTAGTCGCATGGGCCAATTTTATGGTACATTCATAGTGAACTACAGTACACTTCACTACACAATACCTCTAATTTCTATTCTGTGTTGAGTTGCCTCTTTATGTCCAATGGAAAATGTGGGAGCAAGATAGTTCTGTTCAATCAAAGCCAGAGGTCCAAGGCAAGATGACTTTGAATGATTCAAATTAATATATTATTAATACAATAAATTTTAATACTTAAAATTAACTTAATGAAAATATAAAAGTACATTTTAAAAATTTGAAATACAGGTATATTTAGTTATTTTTGTATAATATATTTGATATATTAACAATATATAAAAATATAAATATATATGGTGAGTGTGTGTGTGTGTGTGAGTGAGTGAGTGAGTGAGTGAGTGAGTGAGTGAGTGAGTGAGTGAGTGAGTGTGTGTGTGTGTGTGTGTGTGTGTGTATATATATGTCACACCTCATGGACCTGTTTTGTTGTGTTTCCCTCATGTGCTCTGTTTGACCTAGTTTCTGTCTCCGTCTGATTATTGTCATTGGTTTCAGGTGTGTGTCATTAATTACCCTCATCAGACCTCCTATATTAGTCGTGTTCTGTTCTCTGTTTGTCATCCGGTCTGTCCTGTGTTTGCCGTATTGTGGAATATTAAAGACTAT